AGACTAAGATGAGAAAAAACTAGACTAAGATGAGAAAAAACTAGACTAAGGTGAGAAAAAAACTAGACTAAGATGAGAAAAAACTAGACTAAGATGAGAAAAAACTAGACTAAGGTGAGAAAAAAAACTAGACTAATAAAATAAAAAAATTAGACTAATGAAAGAAAAAAACAAAACTTGAATGAGGGAAAGAACTAGACTAAGATGAAATAAAAACGTTTATTTCCATATGCATGAAAGGGCGAGCATCTTAAATATTGACTGAAAAAAATAGACTAAGAAAAGAAAAAACTAGACTAAGATGAGCAAAAAACTAGACCAAGATGAGAAAATTTTTTTTTCATTTTCAATATTTGATAAAAATCAGATTTTGTTGGAGGCTAATTTTAAAAATTGTTATCATCCATAAACCTTCCCTGGGGTCATGTGAGGTCACAAACAAAATGTTGGCCGGATCGGTTCAGCCGTTTTGACGTTTATTGGATATATACACATGATCCAGATGATGTAAGGATATGTCCGTTATCCTTGTTAAGTCCAAGGTTTAAGGGGTATGCCACTCTACAACTGGAGGTTCACTTGAAATTACACGTGAAGTCTCTTTAATGTGAACCATACTTTTTCACGTACTAATGCAGTGGAACGTACGTCCACTAAGATAATAAATAAATAAAAAACCCAAATGGAAAATACATCGGCTAGAATGCATCGTTATTGAATAAATATTTTGACTTTGACGGTAAATATAGTAAACGTTTTGGTCCATATGGTTTAAAAATGCCAAACCTTAACAAAGTATCATAAAGTGTTACCCACAAAGGATATGGTACTGCAGTACGTACGTTGTACACGTACAATGCATGTTTTAAAAAAGAATATCAATATTTTGTAAAATTTGGCCCATCTATTCTCGTGAAAATATTACAAATTTTTAGATAAGGTAAAAGTTAATAAAAAGTGTAGAAATATATGAACAGAATGTTTCTCAATCTATTTGGAATTTATGACCTATTTCTTGTTCTAATAATCGTAAATTATCTTCTTTCTTTACAGGTTTAAAAACTTGCAAATTGTAATTCAATTTTAAACCTGTCTGTACTTGATATTCTGCTATGAATCAGCCCCTAAATCAAAACCAATTTTAATTGCGAATGATAAATTAAATTCAACCAATTTGCGTTTCTATCTTAATAATCAAGAAAACCGTATGCTAATTTTTAAAGCAAAAAATCTAAAACTGAACGTTTTTTGTCATATCAAAGAAAAAAGCTAAATTTTGCGTAGCAGGAAATAAATTTATATATATATTGTATGTTTATTTGATATTTAATAAAAAATATAAAAAATTACATCTATATTCAACATAAAAAGATAAATAAACAATTTTTCTCCAAAATATTTTTATTCATTTTATACATAATGTGTCTTTCAAGTCAAACTAAAGTAAATTATTGCGAAAGATTGAAATTTTATAAACTTGAATCATAAATCCACTTTTTTTAAAACCATTGAGAAGAAAAAAAAATGTTTAGAATTAATATGTGACCGGAAACTAAACCGGAAACTAAAAAAATTGATTTTCTCTTTTCGGCATGAAATTTAACTAAAGGAGCTACGAGGTCACAAAGTCGTAGCAGTAATGTCGCCTACAGTTTACCTTCTCATTTCGTCTAATTTGCCGTGCTCTTGTGTACTTATAAGCTACCCCACCCCCCTTATAATGCTACTTAGCTACGTTACCCCACCCACCTTATAATGCTACTCAGCTACGTTACCCCTCCCCCCTTATAATGCTACTTAGCTACGTTACCCCGCCCCTCTTATAATGCTACTTAGCTATAAGTATACTAATATTCGATTTTGTAAGGTCGGCTTTATATTCTAGATATTTATTAAAGTCAATGATGACAATAGTTTAAAGATACAGTATTTTTTACTGAAATTTAATAGAGGTTTTGATATCGAAAAAGCTATTTATTTTAAATTTCGACAAATGGGTGAATATTTTTAAAGGTTATTTCCAAATTTTAGAATTTAAAATTCAACATACGTAGACTAGAAAACTGATTGCATAACAAGGCAATAAGGCTTTCCTTTTTTGTGTAGAGAAATAATCCATAGTATTTAAAACATTAAAATTCTAATTTCTGTACCATGAAACAATAGTTTAAAGGTTAGCATAGAAATAAGGGAGTTGCCATTCTATGTTGCGCGCACATGCCCCGTAAAATTCCAAAACAGAAAGAGGGGGATTGAATTTTGTAGATCCAGAAATTAGTATTTATTTAGGGTTAGGTTAGGTTAAGACACTTTCTGGGCCGAGTGCTGCAGCCACGGGTTAGGTTAAGTTATGACACTTTGGGCCGAGCGCTGCGGCTAGGACAGTCTAGGGGGCTGAGCGCTGCGGCCACATGTCTTACATTTAAGACCCCACTAGCTGCCAGTCTCTACGCAGGCATCCCATAGATATTATTTTTCTGAATCTACAAAATTCAATCCCCCTCTCTTTGTTTTGGAATTTTACGGGGCATGCGCGCGCAACATAGAATGACAAATGCCTAGAATTAACGGAAAATATTCTAAAAATTTGCGCATTTGTATTTCTAATCCTTGTTGTGTTTTAAGAGACGATATTAATGTGTATTGAGATTACTTCTCCACAATATGATCAATGTATATTCTCTATAATAATATTAGGTGACACATGGATCAGGCGTAATGTAATTATTGAAGAATAAGAATTATATTTCTTGATATGTGACTTCTATAATGAATAGAATATTCTCTTCTTCATATTACCAATAGTTTACGACATCTATATACACTTTGCTTGTCTGTCTTTTTGTTTGTTTGTTTGCTTGTATTCAGAAACCTAAAGACGGCTGAACCGATCCAGCCAGAAATTTTTGTTGCAATTCTCATATGACCCCAAGGAAGGTTGAAGGTTGGTCGAAGTTTGGCCGGAAAAAATGTTGATATTTATTATTTTTAAAAATGTATACAAATTTAAAGTTAAAAGATAAAATTTTGAAAGGTCAAGTACCAGTAGTAAATGCAAATAAAGGGGAAAATATCCATTACATAATATTTCAGGGTCTTAATACTTGAATGAAATTTATGTTAATTATCTTTTTATCTTTGCACCCTGATGATTTCAAACTCTGAATTCTGCTTGATCAATATACAGTGGGAACCAGACCTCCATATTTTCATTGTAGACACCGAATTTTCGTTGGAGACCCTCAGATTTTCATTAGAGACCCCATATTTCGTTGGAGACCCCCATATTTTCATTAGAGACCCCATATTTCGTTGGAGACCCCCAGATTTTCATTAGAGACCCCATATTACGTTGGAGACCCCCATATTTTCATTGGAGACCCTGCATTTTCGCTGGAGACCCCCAGATTTTTATTAGAGACCCCGTATTTCGTTGGAGATCCCAGCTTCTCATTGGAAACCCCCTAATTCTCATTGGAGACCCCCAGATTTTCATTGGAGACCACGGATTTTCGTTGGGGATGAAAATTTGGGGTCTCCATTGAAATTATGGGGTCTCCAATGAAAACATGGGGGTCTCCAACGAAAAAAAGATACAATTTAAATTTAAAAATAAATGTTTAAAAAGATCTAATATGAGTCCAAAAGGATCATTTTCCTATTCCACAGTTTTCTTGTTCCCACTGTAGTGAAAGTTTGAAATATTATAGATTTACATTGTTACTTTTATTATCATTTATTATCTAGACTATTTTTTAATTGATAGTTTTAAATTCCGCGTAGATAAAGACGACTACTATGTATACTCTCCTATATCTATGTATTGTATGATGTAAGCGCTATATAAAT